CGAAAATAGTTGAAAAGTGGCCATAGTCAGCCACATAGTGCCAAAATCAGTCTTATCTTATCAAATACTAGCCCCGCCCACCCACCCTCTATTTTTTGCAATGTATGTCATTTGCCAAAATCAGTTTTACCTTAGCAAGTACTAGCCCCGCCCACCCGCCCATTATTTTTTTATAGAATGTCATCTGCCAAAATCTGTCTTATCTTAGCTAGTACTGGGTAAGACAAGAGTGATTGTGGCCAATGACATACCCTCTAAGAAAAGAGAGGGCGGCTGGGCGGGGCTAGTACTTGATATGATAAGACTAATTTTGGCAAATGACAAATAGAGAGGAAAAACCTAAAATTGAAAAAGTGAAACATTTTTAAGTTATAATTATTAGTTGTACACTTGGAATGAAAACTAGAAAAATTGTAATTCAAAAGTTGAAGAAACGAAAAATGAAAATATCTAAAAGTTGAAAACTTAAAAAATTGAAAAAAAATAAAAAATTATAAAATATTTGAAAAAAGAAAGAAAATAAAAAACAGAAACAAAAACTTTCGAAAACAGTTGAAAAGTGTCAAAATCAGTCTTATCTTGTCAATAACTAGCCCCGCCCACCCACCCTGTATTTACTTATAGAATGTTATTTGCCAAATTTTGTCTTATCTTAGCTAGTACTGGGTAAGATAAGACTGATTGTGGCAAATGACATACCCTCTAAGATAATAGAGGGCGGGTGGGCGGGGCTAGTACTTGATAAGATAAGACTGATTTTGGCAAATGACATACCATCTAAGAAAATAGAGGGTGGGTGGGCGGCGGTAATAATTATTAAGATAAGACTAATTTTGGCAAATGACATATCCTGTAAGAAAGTAGAGAGCAGGATCCTAAAATTGAAAAAGTGAACAAATTTTTAAGTTATAATTATTAGTTGTACATTTGAAATGAAAACTACAAAAATTGTAATTCAAAAGTTAAAGAAAAGAAAAATGAAAATATCAGAAAGTTGAAAATTAAAAAAATTGAAAAAAAAAATGTAAAATATGGGACATTGAAAAAAGAAAGAGAATAAAAAACAGAAACAAAAATTTTCGAAAATAGTTGAAAACAGGTCGGACATGTCAAAAATGCCAAAATCTGTCTTATCTTATCAATTATTAACCCCGCCCACCCACCCTATATTTTCTTGCAAGGTATGTCATTTGTCAAAATCAGTCTTATCTTAGTAAGTACTACCGTGGAGTCGCCTTTGTCACCATCGATGATGGTCTGACTATTTACGAGTCAAAATGAAAATTTCAAAAATGAAGTGATTTTTTTTTAATAAGTAGTAGGTATTTGGAAAGAAGGAGTGCAAGATTTTTTAAAATATATAAACATATAAAGGGGACTGAAGTTTCAAATTTTCAAAAAACGTACAGATGTAATAATTCACAAAGATTCAAATCACCCTCTACACCAAAAAAGAGCACCGATTAATAACAATTCCAATGAAATAGGAAGAAAGGAAAACATAAAGGAAAAATTAGGCATCAAAAAAAGACAAAAAACAAATCAAAAAATTTACAGAATGTTTAACGTATTTAAGTAATATACCAGACAAAATTAAAATAATTCTAGTTAAATATGATTTGGATGTAGTGTGTGTACCAAACGAATAAAGAAATGTTTAATGGAAAAGATAAGGTTGAAACATTGGAAAAGAGTGGAGTTTATAATAAGATAAAGGTCGAAGAGAGATAACATTAACGAACGTCAACGGGACTGGAGACACTTCCCGACAAAAAGTGTAGACAGTTAAAATCATGAAGAAAATCCCCAGACATTTGTTTTAAATTTACTGGAACAAACAGATTTTCACTTTTTAAAGTGTCAAAAAATCTTTTGTTAGTACTTATTGTTTATTGTAGACTGGGTCTGAAGAAGGCTGAAAACCCGAAACTAGTTTTCCTGAAATAGATTTTAATGAAAAAACGGAGAAACGTGTGTATTCGTAATATACCTATATTTGTAAACCCCAAAATATTTGTCACATGTTTGTCTTCTTATAAAGTTATCAAATATTTGTGTTCAAATTTATGAGTAAATGAAATCAAATACATGGATATTGCGAAGGAAAATTGTCTGAAGAAGATGACGAGAATGATCATACATAAAGAAAACTGTGAAAAACTAATTCACAAATGTTTAAAAAAAAATAAAAATCAATCTGAAATGAAATCTTGACACAATGCAACACGAAGACAATAAAAATTATAGTAATAATAAAAAAATATATAAGCGCTAAAGTTGTATAAAAACCACAAAAGTAGAACAAAAAAAGAGTCGAACTGTATAGGGGTCATATTAGAAAATAAAAGAAGACGAGAACTAATATAAATCAACGAACAGGAAAAGCAGCGAAAGTGTACTATAAATTATGGAAGTCATTTATTGGCAAGAAAGATATATCGTCCAAAGTAAAAATAGTGTGTTGAAAAAAGTTGTGTACTTTTATAATAATAAGTCATGGTATTTTTTCGAGCTTTGTTATCGAAAGTAGTTATTGGTAATGAATATTAAATACCGATTAAAAGTGACTGTGAAATGGAATGGTCGATCAGAGCTGTGTGCAATTAATTGGAAAAATAATAGGTGTCCAGTGGAAATACTGTCGTCTGAGTAATCAGTTTATATTCTGATTACATGCAATCAACTAGAAATAAAAAAATTGTCAATATCTTAAATTTTTGCATCTGCTTACTTTACTCGTTTCTGGATGCTCTTTTGGTATTCACGTTATCTAAATTTGCAATTTTTAATTACTAATTAAGATTAGCAGACACAAATTACTGAAAAATTTAACGATTTTCGTCTTAAAAAAGTTAGATAGTATATGTTTTTATAACACTATTTGTTCACTGTTTTTACTACATTTACTTTGTCTCTATAAGCTGGTAATTCTTCCACTAACTGTTCTATGAAGATCGTCACTACTTACTTACCACGCGAACATAATTTTAAAGTCGTTGAAAAAGCACCTTACTTTGTTTCAGTTTCCACAAAAACTCAGGCATTCGCCATAAAATCACATTCTCGTATTCATAACTTGGCAAATTATTTCAGAATGTAATTTTTTTTGACAACTTAGCTTTCGGCGGGTTTTTATTGCGTTAAACACGAGATCGCACGAGATATTAGCACGCAAACTTTTTTTCGTACGTACCACACTCGTGCTTTCACGGATAATCGCCAAATTTGGAAATGGTTTCAGTGGTAGCAGCTTTCTAGCGAAAGTTCCAATAATTGTCAAAATTGGCCACACGAACGTTTCATCGCGATGTGTCTCAACAACACGTCCAACATTCACAAACAAATAATTCTTTGTCTCCCTTATTTACACAAAGAATAATACATTTACATAATTCTAACAAGCTTAAATCACCTTTACACAAAAAAAGAAACTTATTTATTTTGTTGTTATAGGTGCATTGACCTTCCGCGAAAACTTAATTAAAATTTAGAAATAAATATTGCGGCTTGGTTGGGTAAGATAATGTGTTAAATCTTTTCTTAGAAAGTGCAACAAAATTTAAATTTTCTACGAGCCGCGCTAATTAGGCCGCCGTGAATACGGTCGACTCATTAGCCAAAATTGATTCAAATTTCCAAATTTAATTTCCATAACGAAGGAACAGTGGTTTGGACACTAGGTTGATTAAGATGGTTCAGCATCTGATTAAAACTACAAAAATTCACAAAATAGCATTTGTTTTCGGCAAACTGATTTTATTGGCTCGTGTGTAATTCAGTGAGGTAATTTCGTGACAACAGATGTGAAAAATCAAAAATTTAGACATTTTTGACTTTTGTCAAATTAGTTGGACAAATCAGCAACATTTTCTAGTAAAATAGTCAAATGCAAGAAGGTTGCTTAATCAAAATATCGAATTTGAAGAAAAATTTTCGAATTGTTGGAATTAATTAAACTGAAATGGCATGGGGATTTTGTAAGAATCACTACAACAAGCACATATATTTTCAACCTTCATCCAAGGATAAGGTCGACAATTTATGGCTTGAGCCTCTACAAATGGACTCCGAACATGTGGCAAAATTTTGATAGACTGGAAATTTTTCATATGAAGACATGAAGAATTCCATATTTTATTTATAGGAATAATTCCATAATATAATCAAAAATGTTGATTCGGATTATTAAAGTTAAAACTTAATTACTGTATTGTATTGTATTGACAACGCTTATTCCTTATTTGAAAAATATACTCACTTTTTCGAAAATCGCCCCACTAGAGAAAATTAAGATTGCAAAAAAACAAACATTTTTCTCAAATTTTCTACACTTTTCCTTTTAGGTACAATTATTTGGATATAAAAAAGTGTTAAAAGTTAATTGTTCAGTAGAAAAAACAATAAGTTGATTCCCAGATGTCGAAATCGTTTTCAAGATTAAATATTCCAATTTTTTTAGTAAAAACACTTAACAGGTAACCTGTTTGGAACAGTTTTCTTTATTTAATTTATTCTTAGATTAGTTGGTACTTCATAAGAATACTGATGAGATGGATTCGTTAAATTGTCAACACACAACATGGACGAAAAATAAAAGAGATAATGCTCCATATTTTACATAATGACATAAAAAGCTGAAATATATTGTGTAACAATTTCATCAGGTCCACGATTTTATGATACATTTATTTTAATAAGATTCGATAAGTAGGTATACTAATAAATTTTACTTAAAACACATCCATTTAAGTCAATTTTACAATGAGTAACAATATTCTCCCTCTTCAAGAGTAGCAACGATAAGAACTATCTTCACTCATCCCTTCGCACCCAACGCCAAAACCCCAAAACCCATCTATCCACCAACCCGCATCCACAAAATCCTCCTTCTTCCGCCTCGACGGCAAAACCTCGACTCCGACAGCTCAAGCGCAACCAAGTCCACAACCCATTTCTTCCACATCCCAACAGCGCAATAAAAACCCGCCACTGGCACTTACCCCTTGAGCGCATCCTCCGCGTCCATCCCCTCGGAGGCGACGTCCTCGCAAAAATCCACGCCGCCGTCACGTCTCACGTGTAACACGCAACCAAACCGTCGCACCACCACGCACACCACAGAGCACAAGAACGGTCAGCTGTTAAAAGTCATCCGGAGCACGGTTAGATCGCGAGTGCCGAAGTCCGCGAACATCTCGGCCGGCCAAGACTGGAATGCTCCCGCCACTGGTCACTAGAGCGCCAACCCCGCCCAGGCAGGGGTTAATCCGTCGCGGAAATCGCGGACCGACGACCGGACCGCGGCGGCGGGAATGCGGCACGTGGGTTCGGGTGGAGTGCGGCGTCGAAGTCTCCGGGAAATTTTAATGCTGGGAGTGGAGATGGCGGAATTTCGGTAGTACGGAGAGGTCGTTGTGTTGGTGGTGGGATGGGTGTTGGAATGGATGAATCGATGTGTTTGGTTTAAAGGTAAAGGTTTGTTTACTTTGATTTCTTTAATATTTACTCAGGGATCACATAAATATGTGTGTATCGCTGTGGATTATTTAAATAAAATCATTGAGAACAAACTTGTCGTTGTCTCTTGTCACATAAGCGCATCATTGTTTACACGAATTCTTTAGTTTTATGTTTTCTCGACCTTCCTTGACCCCTAGAGTACGAGGAAATAGGTCTCCCCTTTCCGTTGGTCTGTCTGTCTGTCTGTCTGTCAGTCGTACGGATTTTTATTACACAGCTAATCTCCGAAACAATTGGATGTGATCGATTTTGTTTATTATTGCTACATTTGTTTATTGTTTAATCTCCAAAATATTATACAATAAGTGAATTAGACATACGTTTATTCACGAAAAGATGTTGAGATCACGAGCACGCAGTACGAGTGAGATCATTTCTTTGAGTGAATAAATATATTTAATTCAAGCGGCGCATACATGTTTTATTCCACTTTGGCGAATTTTAATTTCAAGTAATAAATAAAAATTCGAATCATAATACTCCCAATCGAGAAATCGTGTAGACTAATTTTCGTGACAACCAGCTTAACAACCAGTTTTCTAAACTTGTGACACTTGCGGTATTTGTGTTTTTGCGAAACAAAAATGTCTGGAATTTTGGAAGATAAAGACGAAAACGAAGTTTTTGTACCATCAGTAGTCCTGAAGAAAGCTTTGGAAGTTATCAATAAAGTGGTGGCACCAAAATCGAAACATTCGTATGAAAAAGAGTATACGATTTAAAAAAAAATGGATTTGCATAAGAAATTTCGTGTGGAACTTTTCCTGTTGGAACCAACATTGCTCTCGGTGTTCATTTAATACTTAATTATCTTGATGTTCTTCAAAATTGGCACTACTACTTGTTCTTTAAGCACATATTAGATTAAATAATATGTCTGAGCGCAAATAATATCTCAGTGTAAGCTGGAAAAGGAAACTTAAGTTTAAACATAAACAGAAGTTGATAAAAAGGGGAAAAGTCGCAAGTCTTTTTAACGCCTCAGCCGTCCAAATTTTTCGCTGTTTAGGAAAAAAAGAGCTCGCAAATAAACAATAGCATTAGGTCCCTATGAATCTAGAACCGCCCCTAGGGGTCACCTTGGAATTTGCGCTCCCAAGGCGAAAGGGCTGGGGGGGGTTATTTATGCCTCTGATTTTTGCTTTATATAGGTCATCACAAAACTAATATCACAAAATCTAATTTTTTTATTTTTCAAAGAAGCGGGATTTGTAGGACTTACACTTCAATATACTTCAATAAACTTCGACCAAATTTTTTTACATGATTCCTTCTTATTCTGCATTTCATTTAGATTATAGCCGGAAGGAGGTGAATCTCTGAAAAAGCATTTTATTTTAGAAGTTTATTGTTAGTGATACTGAGTGTCTTTGCGTGTTAGTGAGTGTGCTGGGGCCGGTTTTGATTTTTGTGCATACAGTTAAGAATTCTCAAAATGCCTAAGGTAAAATCATCCATGAAAGATAAAATCAAATTATGGTTCGGGAATAATTTGGACACCAACTTTCAATGTCCTTCTTCAACCAAAGACAATGAGTTATTCTGGAAAGTGTTCTGAAAAGTTCTAAGTAAACATTTAAAATACTGAAGCTTGAATTATGTTCACATTTTTGTTTCCTAGTTTAAGTGCGAAAAAAAATCACACTTTGAACAACACTGCAGTGGCGATGCACATAAAAAGAACGAGAATAAATCCAGTAAACAGACTTTATTAAACATTTGTTCCGACAATGATTTTACGCAATTTTGCACCGATCTATGTAGGGCATTTACCGGAGCAAATATTCCATGGAATAAAGTTAGTTGTCCTGAGTTTAAAAATTTTATGCATAAATATACAGGAAGGCATTAGAATTTTTATTTAAAAACTTTTTAACATAAATTTTATAATTTACAGGTAATTAAACAAATTAGAAATTCTATTGGCAATAATAATATATGGATTAACGTCGATGCGACGACGGAGAGATTAGGAAGATACATAGCCCATTTAGTAATTGGAAAGATATCTTCTGGAGAAGCTGGCCGTCCATTTCTACTAGCTTTGAAGGAGCTTGATAAAACTAATAACAACACAATCTCGAGAGTTATAAACTAATCATTGGGTGTGCTGTTGATAATTTTAAGCATTGAAATTATTATAATTTATTTAATTGTTAATTTATAGCTTTATTGTGGCCAAAAGGAACTGAACACAAAAAAGTTAAATGGTTTGTTTCAGATGGTGCTTCATACATGATCAAAACTGGTACTAATTTGAAGGTGTTTTATGAAAATATAACACACTTAACATGTATGGCACACGGGTTACATTTAGTGTCTGAAAGAAATAGAATGAATTATCCAGATGTCAATGGGATAATTAGCAATGTTAAGAAAATCTTTTTAAAAGCACCAATAAGAGTAGAGTTTTATAAAAACAATTTACCAAATACATCTCTCCCACCTGAACCTGTATTAACCAGGTGGGGCACTTGGGTTCAAGGAGCATTGCTTTATGCAGAACACTTTGATGTTTTAAAACAAGTCAGTAAATATATAATGAATTTTTACTATCATTCTTATATTGAATATTTTTAGGTTTTAATGTCATTTGAAACCACAGATGCACAAACCATTAAAAAAGCTCAAGAATTCCTGAATAAAGCAAACATTAAAAATAAACTCTTGTACATTAAAACTCACTTTAAAATTATTGCTGATGCAATAGAACAATTAGAATCTATGGGTTTAAAATTAAACCAAAGTATGGAAATTGTGGAGAAATTGTATACATCTTTAAAAAACACACCAGGAAGGTGGGGGAAATGGCGTTCCAAAAATTATGTTCTCTATTAAAAAAGAATCCAGGATACGATTTTATATCTTCAGTAAATAACGTAATTTGCGATAATGGAAATGCTACCAACAATACATACATAAATGAAAACGTAGATTGTTCAATATTTAATTTTGCACCCATCACTTCTTGTGATGTGGAACGCACCTTTTCAAAACTTAAAAGTGAAGCGATCAAAGGTGTAAATTTACAATCGAAAATTTAGAGAAATACATATTTTGCTTTTGTAACTCATTTTAGATACCTGAATTATTATTTTATTTTTTGTTAAATACGACTTGCTTTAATTTGATCGCCATTTTTTACGATAACTTAGAATTAGTGGACATAACTATAGATCGTTTGTTTATTTAATCATTTTTTTGTTTGTTACACAAAATATTTGTTTCTATAATGTTTTGTTTAATTTTTTTTTAATATATATTTTTTTGATGTATGCTTTTTCGTTGAGCAAATATTTTTTCCTCCAGGTTTTTAACCTAAGCTAAGATTTTTATAACCTAATTCGTCAATTTTGGGACCTAAAAATGTCTCCTTTTATTCATTTTTTAACGACCTAAAATCCGAAGCCTACTTATCAGGAAAACATAATGTTCTCAAAATTAAATTAAATATATGTTTTAAGGGTTTAATAAATATGTTAGAATAGTCTTTCACCAGAAAACCGGAAAATAATGAAGGTAAGTGTTAAATTCCAAAGAGTTCCAGCAGGGAAAGAAAAATGTTATTAACCTTTTTTCAATATTAACGGTAGAATTTACATCGCCCAGATTTTCCGAAACTTCCTGTATAAAAAAGAGTAGTCAACTGAGTTTGTTGATTCACGGAATTATTACGAATTTTGAGTGGAACGTTATCAATACGAGCACTGAATTGTTTATCGCATTACTAGAGAATCGGTAGGTGCGAACAAACTTGGCAGCAAATCTAAACAAATAGCCAGTTATTTAAAAGTTAAAAATCCAGAACTGTACACAAGGCATTGTTTTCGCCGGTCCTCGGCTAGCATTCTTGTTGACGCAGGTAGAGATATCACTACTCTTAAGCGCTACCGGGGATGGAAATCTACTACTATCGCCGAAGAATATATTGATGAATCAGCTACCAATAAAATGCAAATTGCAGATAAAATTTTAAATGCGGTTGCTGATTCATCATCATCAAACATTAGAACTGACCCGGAAATAATAGATTCTTGGCGTTCACATTCTAACATTCAATATCAACATCAGATCACTGACACTACTCTCAACACCAATTCTTTAAGAAACCCCACTTTCAATAACTGTTAAATTAATAATCTGACCATTAATTTTATTGATTTAAAATAAATAAATATGTTTGCAATAAATGACATTTTTTAGTGTCGTAGGAAAAATAGTGTGCCAAACTCACTAGAAAGTGTGTACTGTTTGTTCGTAAGATTTCCGCACTCGACTGGCGCCTCGTGCATCAAAATTCTCACTCGCATGAGAATTCACTTTCCAGCTATTTGGTAGTCTTCTGGATCAAGACTATTTCAGAATTACTTTCAAATCAAGAACAATATTTTAATACTATGTTGAAAAATTGATAATTTAAAAAACAACTTTAATTAATCATTTAATTAAAACTATGTCGATGCTTATTTTGCGAATTTTATTGGACGAGCTATACCGGGTGTTCCAACGTACCTCTTCCACTCAAATATCTCAATTATATTAAAACATAAAAATTTGAACTTAGGCATATTTAATATATGCAATACGGTCTATTAAATGAGTAGACTGTTTCAC